CTCATAGTGACCCTACAGGACAGAGTAGAACTACCCCATAGGGTTTCTAAGGAGTGGCTGTTGGATTTGAAGTGTTGACCTTTTGGTTAGCAGCGAGGTCTTTAACCATGTGCAACCAGGCAACTAGGGTTCCATATATATATATATATATATATATAGAGAGAGAGAGAGAGAGAGAGAGAGAGAGAGACACGGAGAGAGCGAGCCATGTGCGCTAGATTTATTTCAGGAAAATGGCTCACACAGTTGTGGAGGCTGGCAAGTCCCAAATCTGTGGGTCAAACGTCAGGCTAGAGGCTTCTCCTGACTCACGTGGTTGCAGGGGCTGACAAACCCAAAGTTGACAGGTCAGATGGCAGGCTGGTGGTTCATAGGGCTGTGGGAGCTGGCAAATCCCAAAAGCTGCAGGTCAGATGGCAGGCTGCTCGTTCATGTCCCAAGAGCTAGAAGTCAGAGTATGACAAGTTGGATGCAGGATCCAGAGAGAGAGGGCGAGATTTGCCAGAACATTTGTATATGTTAGATTCAGGCCACACCCCCAAGGAAACTGCTCTTTCAACTGATTGGCTGCTCACATTAGATCACAGAATGGAGGATGATTTCATCATATTTGCCAAACCACTGAGAGTCGTGGCGTAGCCAAGTTGACACATAACCTTAACCATCACAGTACACCCCTTGTCAATTTGGCACCTGTACACATCTCCTTAAACCATACATAATCTCTAAATAAAGACAGTTATAAAGTGCTACTCTTGCCTAACATGATACAACTAATGTGTACAACCAAATATGCACTATCCCTGTTTACATCTTATGTTTTATAATAAGCAATGGAATGAGGGAGGGAAGAAAACAAAGATATTTGTTATATATAAGATATATATACATATATATGTATGTGTGTGTATATATATGTATATGTGTGTATATACGTACATGTATCTGTATGTACTCATGTACTTAAAACAAGAAATACACCTTCTCCTTATTTGTCGACTGTATTATCTGAAGTTTCGTGTTTACGACAATAGTGAAAAATCTACTGCCTGACTGTTTTGCACATTATGACATGTCTGACAGCAGTGAATGCCGAGGTGCAAGGTGAAAGTAATGCTGGCTTTGATAGTTAAGGTTGTTTGTCAGCTTGGCTGTGCTGTGATTCTCAGTAGTTTGGCAGTTACGTAATGATGTAACTTGGCAGTTACGTAATGATGTAATTTGGCAGTTATGTAATGATGTAGTCATCCTCTATTTTTTGTGATCTGATGTGGTCATCCTCCATTTTCACATAACACCCATTTCAAGTAACGACCTGGTCTTTGGAACCTAACCATGTTGATTAGTGAGGAGAGGATATACTAAAAACAATTACAGTCTTCATTTCTGCAACTGGTCATGTGGTCGTAGCTGATATTTAGAACTACCTTCTTCCACCACCATTCCGTATACTCTTTGCCTTCAGCAAGCACCTCAGCTGGTCATGGTTCTTTGCCTGGTGGGGTGACCCAAAACTTCATTCCTGAAGGGTCTGGGCTATTAGTAGTAATGTTGGAATTGGGTTGTTGTAGTTTTCATTGACTTTAATCACAGGGCATGGTAGTACTAACAGACATCCTAAGGGATCTCCTATATTACATTTATACGATTCTCTACCCCCATTATGTAACACCAGTTCGATCTCCCCTTGGTAATCAGTATCAGTCACAGCAGCCCATACAGTAACTCCCATTTTTGCCTGTTGGTCCAGAGGCATGAGGAGCCCAAAGTGGCCAGGTGGCATTCTTAAGTTCCAGTTCAATGGAATCAGTGATGTGTCTCCAGGTGGGAGCATTCCTCCCGTTGGAACTAAAACCTGTAGACCCTCAGAGCATAGGGTCATGGAAATATATTGGAAGCAAAAATTTCATAAGTGGGTCACTAGGGGTAATAGTGAGTGGTGCCATTCCCATCTCCACTCCTTGATTCCTGGACCCATGAATTCTGGCTATGGGAGAAACAGCACCATATATTGGACACTGGTTTAGAGCATGTACAACCTCCTGGAGAAGATTGCCTCAACCCTGCAAGGTATTGCCACCTAGCGAGCGCCGTGATTGTGTCTTTAGAAGCCATTCCATTGTTCTATTAAGCCAGCTGCTGCAGGATGACAGGGAACATGGTAAGACCAATGAATTCCATGAGCATGGGTCCATTGCTGTACTTCATTTGCTGTAGAGTGAGTCCTTTGATTTGAAGCAGTGCTGTGTGGGTTACCATGATGTTGGATAAGGCATCCTGTAAGTTCATGACTGGTAGCAATTTTCCAGTCATGTTCCTTCCAAGTCCCTGACCATCCAGCCAAACCATTGGTCACAGCCAATGAATCAGTATACAGTCACACATCTGGCCATCTCTCCTCCCAAGCAAAATTAAGTTCTGACCACTGGGAGAATTTCCTTTCACCACTGTCCTTCAGGGAGGTTTCAGAAAGGGGCTGTAGTGCTGTCACTGTCCACTCTTGAGTGGTGCCTGCATATCACACAGAACCATCTGTAAACTGGGCATGAGTTTTCTCTTTCTCAGTCAGCTGATCGTAAGGAACTCCTCATGAGGCCATTGGTGCAGACTGGGAGAAGGAAGGTAATGTGACAGGAGTGGGGACCCTGGGCATTTGGGCCACGTCCTCATGTAGCTTACTTGTACCTTCAGGTCCTGCTCAAACCCTATCTCGTGTACACCACTAACATTTAATAATGGAGTGCTGCTCTGTACGTCTGACTTTCATGACTCTGTGGATCAGACAACACCCAGGTCATGATGGGTAGCTTAGGCCACATGGTGACTTGATGTCCCATGATGAAGCAGTGTCTACTAAGGCCCGGTAACAAGCCAAAAGCTGTTTCTCAAAAGGAGCATAGTTATCTGCAGAGGATGGCAGAGCTTTGCTCCCAAATCCTAAGGTCTGCACAGCAGTTCATCAATAGGGGCCTGCCAAAGACTCTAAACAGCATCTCTCTCTGCCACTGACACTTCAAGCACCATTGGATCAGCAGTATCATATGGCCTAAGTGGCAGAGCAGCTTGCACAACAGCCTGAACCTGTTGCAGAGCCTTCTCTTGTTCTGGGCCCCACTCAAAACTAACAGCATTTTGAGTCACTTGACAAATAGGCTGGTGTAGCTCACCCAGATGAGGAATATGTTGCCTTCAAGATCCAGAGGCCCACCAGGCGTTGTGCCTGTTTTTGTAGTTGTGTGTGGGGAGGGCCAGATGTAACAACTTATCCTTCACCTTGGAAGGAATATTTCAGAATGCCCCATAGCACTGTACCCCTTAAATTTCACTGAGATGGAAGGCACCTGAGTTCTTGTCGGATTACTTTTCTACCCTCTAGCATGCAGAGGTCCTGTCACTAAGTCTAGAGTCATGAACTTCTTCCTCACTAGGTCTAGTCAGCATAATGCCATCGGTGGGATGAACCAGTGTGACGTCATGTGGAAGGGCATACATGTTTTGTTGTCCTTCGCAGATACTGTGTTTTTTACAAATGGAAGGTTTGTGTCAACCCTGCGTCGAGCAAGTCTATCGGTGCCATTTTTCCAACAGCACGCACTCACTTCATGTCTTTGTCTTACATTTTGTGGTAGTTCTTGCAACATTTCAGACTTTTTCATTATTATTAGTGTATTATGGTGATTTGTGATCAGTGACCTTTGATGTTACTGTTGTAATTGTTTTGGGGCACCACGAAATGCACCCATATAAGATGGTGAATTTAATCAATAAATGTTGTGTTTTGACTGCTCCACCGACCAGCCATTCCCCTGCCTCTTTCTTTCTCCTCAGGCCTTGCCGTTCCCTGAGACATGACAGTATTGAAATTAGGCCAGTTAACAAACCTACAATGGCCTTTGAGTACTCCATTGAAAAGAAGAGCCGCTTGTCTCTCACTTTAAATCAAAAGCTTGAAGTGATTAAGCTTAGTGAGGAAGGCATGTCGAAAGCCGAGATAGGCCGAAAACTAGGCCTCTTACACCAAACGGTTAGCCAAGTTGTGACTACGAAGGAAAAGTTATTGAAGGAAATTGAATGTGCTACTCCAGTGAGCATACAAATGATAAGAAAGTAAAACAGCCTTGTTGCTAATAGGGAGAAGGTTTTAGTGGTCTGGATCAAACCAGCCACAACATTCCATTAAGCCGAAGCCTAATCCAGAGCAAGGCCGTAACTCTCTTCAGTTTTATGAAGGCTGAACTAGGTGAGGAAGCTGAAGAAGAGCTTGAAGCCAGCAGAGGTTGGTTCATGAGGTTTCAGGAAAGAAGCCGTCTCCGTAACATAAAAGTGCAAGGTGAAGCAGCAAGTGCTGATGGAGAAGCTGCAGCAAGTTATCCAGAAGATCCAGCTAAGATAATTGATGAAGGTGGCTGCACTAAACAACAGATTTTCAATGTAGACGAAATAGCAGTATTGGAAGAAGATGCCATCTAAGACTTCTCATAGGTAGAGAAGGAGAAGTCACTGCCTGGCTTCAAAGGACAGGCTGTCTCTCTTGTTATGAGCGATTGAAGCTGGTGACTTTTAATCGAAGCCAATGCTGATCTGTCATTCTAAAAATTCTAAGGCCCTTAAGAATTATGCTAAATCTACTCTGTGTGTGCTCTACAAATGGAACAACAAAGCCTGGATGACAGCACATTTGTTTACAACATGGTTTACTGAATATTTTAAGCCCACTGTTGAGACCTACTACTCAGGAAAAAGATTTCCTTTCAAAATTTTACTGCTCATTGACAATGCACTTGGTCACCCAAGAGCCCTGATGGAGATGTACAAGGAGATTAATGTTGTTTTCGTGCCTGCTAACACAGCATCCATTCTGTAGCCCGTGGATTACGGAGTATTTCGACTTTCAAGTCTTATTATTTAAGAAATACATTTCAGAAGGCTGTAGTTCCCATAGATAGTGATTCCTCTGACGGATCTGGGCAAAGTAAATTGAAACCTTCTGGAAAGGATTCACCATTCAGGGTGCCATTGAGAATATTTGTGATTCATGGGAAGAGGTCAGAAGTTGATTCCAACCCTCATGGATGTCTCTGAGGGGTTCAAGACTTCAGTGGCTGAAGTAACTGCAGATGTGGTGAAATTAGAAATGGAGCCTGAAGATGCGACTGAATTGCTGCAATCTCATGATGAAATTTCAACATAATGAGGAATTGCTTCTTATGGGTGAGCAAAGAAAGTAGGTTCTTGAGATGGAATCTACTCCTGGTGAAGATGCTGTGAACACTGTTGAAACGCCAACAAAGGATTTAGAATATTACAGAAATCTAGTTGATAAAGCAGCAGCAGGGTTTGAGAGGATTGACTTCAATTTTGAAAGAAGTTCTACTGTGGGTAAAATGCTATCAAACAGCGTCGCATGCTACAGAGAACTCTTTCATGAAAAGAAGAGTCAGTCGATGCAGCAGACTTCACTACTGTCTGATTTTAAGAAATTGCCACAGCTACCCCAACCTTCAGCAACCACCACCCTGATCTGTCAGCAGCCATCAACATCGAGGCAAGACCCTCCACCAGCAAAGAGATTATGACTTGCTGAAGGCCAAATGATGGTTAGCATTTTTTAGCAATAAAGTGTTTTTTAATTAAAGTATATCGGTTGTTTTTTTAGAATAATGCTATTCCACATTTGATAGACTACAGTATAGTGTCAACATAACTTTCACATGCACTGGGAAGCCAGAAAATTCCTGAGACTTGCTTCAGTGTGATATTCACTTTGTGGTGGTTTGAACCAAACCCATGATGTATCTGAGGCATGCCTGTTCTATATGTATGAGTGTGATAATGTCAGTCTTTGTGGGGAGAAAAATCAGCTGATAGTCACATTGTTTTGACTGTTAGGATTTTTATCTTTTTAGGAAAAAGCCCTCTGATCTCACATGCTTAATTAACCACCGCTTACTGAAATGTGTACGTGTCTTCTTCTTATCTTCAGATGTTTCCTTGTAGCTTTCAGTCTGTAAAAATGTATACCTTTGGTGGTGGTAGTGGGGTTAGCTTTTATTGATGGAAAGTTTAAGTTTTTGCATTTAAATTCTCCGGGCTTTACCATCTCTGTGCTTTGAGATCCACTATGTATAAAACGTTTTAGAGGATTTAGTGTCAGTGACTTGAGGGGAGATTTGTTTTGTAATTGGAACCAAAACCTTCTTTCTTCTTTCTATAGTCATGTGCTGCATAATGGTCATCTGGGCAACATCTGACTGCATATACATCTGTGGTCCCGTAAGGTTATACAGGCAGTCGCCGGGTCACGAGTGCCTGACTTACACAGGCGGTCCCTGGGTGAGAAATGTCCGACTGACACAGACGGTCCCTGGGTTACAAATGTCCAACTGACACAGATGGTCTCTGGGTTATGAGTGTCCGACTGATGCAGGCAGTCCTGGGTTACGAATGTCTGACTTACGTACAACCTGTATTTATGAACCAATCCTTATAAAGTCTTTTATGTTAAAAATTCAAGGTATATACAGTGGTCCATAATAACAAACAGGCACTACTATGCAATGTTTATCAAAACATTCTTATTAGTATTCGTATTACTGTATTATTATGTTAAAAATGTTTTATGGTATCTGGAAGTATATCTTTAATGTTTTTTATGCATGGAAAGGTACAGTATATACTATATAGTAAGACAAACATTTGACTGATGTTTGATACGAAGTGTACCTAACTGTTCCAACTTAACGTATAAATTCAATTTAAAGACAGACTTAGGAACGGAACTTGTTTGTAATGTGCGGACTGCTGGTATAACCTTATGGGACCATGGACATATATGCTGTCGGATGTTGCCTGAATGGATGTTAGGCAGTGCGTGACTACACTCACCTTAATAACTGGCCCTTGGTATTTTTCTGTTCTTCTCTAGCCCGTGGTGTTTGCTCCCCTCTAACATGAGAAAATAAAAGAGATCCTAAACAGGAATTAGCCATTAGCTGGTCACTCCAGGGAGGCCTGATAGTAACTTTCCTGGAAACTAAGTCAGTGGATATAAGGGGTTGGGGCAATGTGGTGATTATCTGATATTCTTTTGAGTATTCACTCTAAAGTTATGTCCCATTGCCTTTTTACAATTTAAATCAAATTCTCTAGTTTGAGAAAATTGTAGATTCACATGCAGTTGTAGGAAATCATGCAGAGAAATTGTGTATCTTTTACACGTTTTCTCTCATTGGTAACATTCTGCAAGACTATGGTGCAGTATATCCACAGCCAGGATAGTGACTGATAAAATTGAGATATAGAACAGTTCCGTCTCCCTGAGGATCCCTCCCGTTGCCATTTTATAGCCACAATCACTACCCTTCTTCCACCTCTGGAAACCAGTAATCTGTTCTCCACTTCTATAATTTTGCCATTTCAAGAAAACAAACAAAAAACCAGTTGCCATTGAGTATTGAGTTGATTCCAACTCATAGCGACCCTATGGGACAGAGTAGAAGTGCCCCATAGGTTTACCAAGGCTATGGAAGCAGACTGCCATATCTTTCTCCTGTGGAGCGGCTTGTGGGTTTGAACCGTCGAACTTTCAGTTCGTAGTTGAGTGTTTAATCACTGTATCACCAGATCTCCTTTTGCCATTTTAAGAACGTTATAAAATGGAATCATAGAGTGTGTTACTTTTTGTTGGCTTCTTCATTCAACGTAATTAAGGCTCATTACCTTTTGGCTAAAATGTCTGTTGTTATCACTGAATAGTTTGGGCATGTGTTCCTGAAAATACCAATAATAGCAGAATTGGGAATGCGTTGCAAAGGGGGATGAAATTAAATAGTGACAATGAAGTGAAAATTTTATAATCTGTACAAAATCTAAACCAAATACCATACGGTCTTGGATGAACAAGTGTTGTGGTAGTGCAGAACATTTGGGATGTTTTGATAGACATATTTTCTTTCCATAAAAAGTGTTTTGGATTATAATGGAAGTGGTGAGGCTAGCCTTAGCCATCATGATTCCTTGTTCAAAGAAATTATTTGATCTTTTTCAACTAAAGTAGCAGTTTTTTTTTGTTTTTTGTTTTTAACTAATCAGAAGGAAGTTTAATGAATGTGTACATCAAGGAGCCCCAAGGACCACACGTGGGACAACATGAGCAACACAATAATGGCAGTGATGGATTAAACCCCTAGGGTAAAAAGAAATATCCACGAACCCATAGTGATATAAGTAAGTAGTTGAATAAATCAAGAAGTAAATGATGGAGAGAGACAGCCCTTCCTTACAGTAGAATTCTAATTAAAAAATATTGAAGGAATGATGGAACTAGAAAATCACCAGTGGGCAAACACCACAATAGTAATAGTTAACGAGGAATCATCAGTGGATGCCAAAATTAATGGGTGAAAGTATGGTGAAAAACAGGATATTACATAGTCTCAAGGTGTCTCCCCGCAAGATAAATTAGTTAATTACAAAGAGAGAAACAGTAACTTTGCAGTAAAGAAAACTAGTAACACTGTGTTAACCAGGTGATCAGAGTTAACATCAACCAGGAATAAGACATACCAGCGTCATGCATCTCCTGGTGTGATGCACTGAGAAATACACACAATCTCTTCTGAGGATGTCTTAACAAAACACCTCAACCTCAGCACAGGGAGACAGCAGACTGACTCACATTTAAGGGCCCCTGATGTGAAAAGATTGAAGCAAACTCTAGTTGGAGGACATTTAAAATAGTGATTATATATGTAGTCGTGTGGGTACATACGCAGACACACACAGCTACAAATTAAATGGGGGAGGAGAGCTAAAATAATTTTAAATTATTAATCTGTATTTTATCAGTCTCATGATCCTAAATTTAAGTAAATTAGAATATTTGGTATAAGGAAAAAAAAATGTTAGAATATTCCCTGTACACTAAGCAAAATAGAAAATAAATTGTGATAGCAGCTGAAGGAAGTAAAATCTGAGTGAAATTTAAGCTATAAGTTTTTTTCCCTTTTCCTTTTCTGGGAACTTAATAATTCTTTCACTTAATTACTTTTAGTAGGAGTGAGGAGGTGGAAGGCAGAGAAGGATGCAGCAAGGGTGTTTAAAAAGTCTAGTCAGAGGTACTGTAACAGCAGTGAATGATAGAGTTATCTGAGTGTGATTAATACTTTAAACTTTTTCTGTTAGGATCCAGAAGCGGGGAAAGCGGAATTTCTTTTAAAATCAAATCGAAGTAGAAATATCTCTACAAGTCTGTTCTTCCCATATACATATATGTGACAGCTTTGGCCAACGATAAGTACGTGGAGAGGGCTTTCATAATGGAGGGTCAGAACTCGTCTGGATACCTGAGTGATAAGAATCAGGATCGGCACAGAGCTGGCTCCTGTGAGGTGGAGGTCAGACATACCTTCACTCCAACTTCTTCACCATTTCTGACACCAGTCGTCCCCCCTGACTCCCACTCCGCAGCGCTCTCAGCTTCTCTGCTGGATTTGCTTGTTTCAAGAGCCACGCATACCATACTCAGTTCTGTGGTTTATTAGGGAAGCAGCAGGCTACAACTTGGGAAGTAACAGGCACAGTTTGGGATACTGGATGCGGTTCATCAGTCAGAATGGCTTCCAACTAGGACAGCTCTCAGCTCGTCTCTGCTGTGCTGGCAGGCCCTTGTTGGCTATGCCTGCATCCTTCTCACCCTGCGTGCCTCTTCTCAGCCCCCGCAGGACAGGCCTCCTCCCAGCCTCCTTTGGCTTTAGGGTTACAGCTCTCAGCACGGCTGGGGCGTCTGCTGCTGTCACACTGCTGCTTGCTGTGCTCGGGCGCCTGCCTGCAGGGGCCCAGACAGTGGCTGCTTCCCCTTTAGGGGGCACCCAGCTCCATCGGTGGCCTCCTGCCCGGAGGTGCCCGGCTTTGCTCAGTGGGACGACTAGCCTGCTGCAACCATCTGCCGTCTCGTGGTTCCCACTGCTGCTGTTGCTGCTGCGGTTCCTCTGCCGCTTGGCTGTGCTGCGCTCTGTGCCATCAGTGCGGTTTCAGTGTTACAGCTCATGACCCATATACAGCTCTTCTGGGAGACTCCTTTCTCCTCTCTGTCTTTGCCTCTCTCCTCTAAAACCTTCTGTTAGGTTGGCTGTTTATATAAGCCAATTCCTTGTCAGTTTCAAGGCATGACCCTCCCTGTAAGACCGCAAACCAACCAATCCCCTCAGTGGACTGCAAGTCAGTCAATTCAGTTGGGTGGATTTGCAAACCACTGTTTGCATAGCAAATTGACCGATCCCTGCAAGGTGCATAAAATAGACTAAGCACAGGACAGACTGCAGCCCACCCAGTCATTTTTGGCAGAGTTACAAACCCAAGGCCAGAGAGGCCATATGTAAAGATAAACCCATTGCACTGCACTGTCCTTCAAAATAAAAAGACAAAGCATTACCAGTAGAGCTATTTTTAATCATCTTCTTCTTTCCTGCTTGGCTGTGCAGCTGCCATCTTGTGCCCTTGAAGACTAAAATCACTTGCTAAATAGGAAACTGAGTCAGTTTCCTTATTGACATCTCTGAACATCTGCACTAACCCTGAATTGCCTACCTCTAGATTTCTTATTATGTGAGAAAAATATGCCCATATTTAGTTGAGCCACATTTAGTGTGGTAATTCACAGACAAATGCAAACCTAATACAGTCTGCACTGTAAGTCAGATCTGTCAAATCAATGCGTTATAATTTACTTTGTTGAGTTGACTAATATGCTATAAAATATACTAACAATACAAAGCTACCTAAGGGAAAAAGTAACAGAGTAATTGAATATCAACTATTGAAAAACAATAATGGTAATAATAAGAAAATTTTTAAATACTTGTTGCCAAGTGCTGTGCTAAAAACTTTAATATACGTTAACTTGTTTGATCCTCACAACCATATGAGGCTAGTTGTATTATACCCATAGGCTACTCCCCATTATGGTAAAATTTTTATCAGTTTTTGACAGGAACAGAATAATATGATAAAGCTAAATTTATTTATTCTGTGATATTAAATGTGATATTTTTGTGATATTAAATGTCTCTGTTGAAATGAGAATGGTGGGGAGCAGTTTGATGTTTATTTTTAACATGCTTACTTGGTAAAATAGTTGGAAAATCAATGCCAGTGCCCCAGTGTGTTTTGAAATTGTAACCGTCCATGAAATCCAAATGCCTGAGACCCACTAAGGTTAGGTAACCTGCCCAAGGCTACAAAGCAGTTTGTTTGACACCAAAGTCCAGGTTCATAACCACCAAGTTCTGTGAAGGAAATATACTAAACTCAAAAAAACTATTCTGTGAACACAACTAATATAAAGATACAAGTTTATAGTTATGAAGGAAGACAGCTCTCCCAGAATATATAAAGTGGGAACCAAGTCTTTAAGGTGAAATAATTTTTACATGTTGGTTCTCCAAAGAGTTCTCTCTAACTGTGTGATGTAAATTTAAATCCTACCAAAGAAAATGGGGTTGAGAGAGGAATTCCCACCCATTCCTACTTAAGGCTGAGATCACAGTTAGGCTTGGAGGTTCACGTTTGGGAATAAAGAACTTTGGGTCTCTGTGTACATTATCTGTGTCTAAAGGAACTTTGTGGTATCCAAAATCCAAGGAACAGGACAGGCATGTAGAAAATATTTGCCCCTAAGTCTTGTTCCTCATTTTTTTCCAGCCCCTCAAAGATGGGGGGATCAGATATGAATGAAGATTAGAAACAATATGGTTAAATTCTTTTAATTCTTGGCAATTTGTGATGCTGTATTTCAGTTTTTTAAACTCATGAGTTGTGTTTTAAACTCATCTCTAGTTTGGACCCATTGACATCGAGTCAATTCTGACTCATAGCAACCCTATAGGACAGACATGAACTGCCCCATAGGGTTTCGAAGGAGTGGCTGGTGGATTTGGGCTGCTGACCTTTTGGTTAGCAGCCAAACGCAGGAATCAACTCAACGGTAACAGTTTTTTCTCTAGTTTGGAAATGTGTAAATTTTAGCAAGCTAAAATATATAACTTAGATTGTGAATCAAATATGTCTAATAATTTGACCAAGCATTTCCTAAGTTTGCAACAAAGATTGGATAAGATAGTTTGAAGAATTGAGATAGTTAGACTTATATCCAGAACAGCCCGATGAATATTAATATAAACAGGCTGTGTATTTATGTATACGTACACACTTTCACAGTCATTATTTTCTAAAGTTTTAGTTACTCCAAAGCCTGGCCAACTCTTTCCTTTTTCATCTCTACTTTCAAGTGTAGTTTATTATTAAAAACATCAAACACAGAAACAATATTTTCTTAAATATAGAAAATATAATTTGCTATCAGAAGTTAATGGCTAGAAAAGTTGTTATAAAGTGTTGGGGACATTTGTGGTTTCTAAATAGTCTTTGTTTTCAGAAGTTACTTGTTTTGGAAGGGGTGTAGCATATACTTGAATTTGGAGTCTAAATTAGGATCATTTTGTCACGTAAAATGGATTAACTTGAAAAATGTCTGTCAGCCCAACTAGACTGAGAGCTTCTTGGGCTGGGACTTACTCATCTTTAAAGCTCAGGACGTGGCAAACCCCTTAGCACAGAGTTGGAGCTAATAAATGTTGTTTAATGACTTGATTTTGCTTTCCTGGAGTTTGGGAGGTAGTGATACAGGGAAAAAAAGTAATGGTGCACTTCTGTGTTAATGGGAAATTTAATAAAAATTGAAAAGGAGTGTTGAGTTTTGATTTAGTTTCTATAGCAAGTAAATATTCCTTTACATAAACTTGTAACTTTTTGGAACAAAGTTATTTTTATTGGGTATCGATTTACTGCTGTAAGTAAAACAATTTAATCACTTTGGTGCTGGTGCTCTGAATCTGTCATTTAAATGATATTTTCATTAGTATTTAACAGTGTGTGAATTTTTCCTCTGGGCTCCTGTGACACTAGTTTTATGATGTAGGTTTTTTATTCCTTTAGGAGACCTGGTGGTGCAGTGGTTCAGTGCTCGGCTGCTAACCAGAAGGTCGGCAGTTTGAACCCACCAGCTGCTCATCAGGAGAAAGATGTGGCAGTCGGCTTCTGTAAAGATTTACAGCCTTGGAAACCCTTTGTGGGGGGCAGTTCTGCTGTGTCCTTACAGGGTTGCTCTGAGTTGGAGTAGACTCGACAGCAACAGTTTGTTTTTTTTCTTTTTTTATGTTCAGGTACAGTAATTTAAACTAATGACAAATTTATATTATAAAACTAAATTCACTTCTAGTATCTAGCACTAATTTGCTGATTAATTCTTGGCTAGATGGAGATCAGATCCTTGACCCATTTTAATAGATATGACCACTTTAAATTGGTAAAATCATTTACATGCAGATGTATTAACTGCCAAACTTAAGGGGTAGTGCCATAAACGATTAACTATATTCCATCAAAATTTTATTTAGCTTATTGATTTACATAGAAAATTTTAGAGAAAAGTAAGCTGTAATGAAACTTATTCTAGATAAATTTTGTTTTTTACGAATTTTTAATGAGAAGCATCTTAATTAACCAGCAGATACCAGAGGCACCTTGGACGACAGGCCTGGCTCTCTGCTTCTGGAAGATCATAGTCTTGAGAACCTTATAGAGCAGTTCTGCTCTGCATGCCTGGTTGCCCTGAGTTGGAATAGACTCCACAGCAACTAACAGCAGCAGCAGTAGAGTAGCGTTTAAGTGGCAACCAACAGCGATGGTTTCACTTCGTTGCACTAGACTTCTTTCCTGTATTTAATTTATTTTTGATTTTGGCACGTATTCTTCCTCATGGAAGGAGAGGATGTGATTTCTGGGGTATTTGAAAGACCCCTAATCCTTAGAGGAGTCCTGGTGGTGCAGTGGTTAAGCATTTGGCTGCTAACCAAAAGGTTGGCAGTTCGAATCCACCAGCCACTCTTCAGAAACCCTATTGGGCAGTTCTGCTCTGTCCTCCAGGGTCGCTATGAGTTGGAATTGACTCGACGGCAGCAGGTTTGGTTTTTTTTTGGTTCTAATCGTTAGAATGCTTCCCTTGCCCTCTGATGGTGCCTGAAATGACAGGAAAACAGATCTGTCAGTATCGGCTCTTGGCACTGAGTGGAACTCAGAGATCAGCTAGCCAGCGGTATTCACACTGTCCCAAAGATTTGTAGACATCCCCAGAGGCTCCCGAAAAGGACCTTTGGGGAGACCTGGAAATCTGGGGTCCTAGCCCACATACTTTATTATTTTTATTAGAAAAAGATTCACCACTAAAAACGTGTTTGAAAATCCTTGATCTAGTTGTGACTCCTGAGTAGAGGAAATTAATACTAAGAGCAGTTAACTGAAATTTCTCAAAGTTACAGGGGCAGAACCTACAAACTAT